TAAACCAGGGAACACCCTGCGGCAGAGACTGGTCCACCCGAAGGACAAAACACCCAGACTTAAACAGAGTGATGTGGTGTATGCAATTAAGTGTAGTCAGGAGTGTAACAACTTGTACATTGGTGAGACTAAGCAGCCGCTGCACAAACGCATGGCCCAACACAGGAGGGCCAACTCCAGTGGACCAGAGTCAGCAGTCCACCTCCACGTGAAGGACAAAGGGCATTCTTTCGAGGACAGTGAAGTCCAGATCCTCTCCAGAGAACATCTCTGGTTTGAGAGAGAAGTCAAGGAAGTTATTTTTGTAAAAATAGAACACCCCTCACTAAATAGGGGTGGTGGACTAAGACACAACTTGTCTTCCATCTACAACCCGGTTTTGAGATCTCTGCCCAAACATGCCCACCAGGACAACAATAGGCGTTGGTCGACAGGGAAGGATTCAAAGACAGGTAACAACTCTCACCGATACTGGACTGCAATGACTCAGTTGTTAAGGGACATTGCTGGCCTTCAAAGGACTGAAACAACACCAAGGGGGATAAATATCTCTGGCTCAACAACTCAATGCCAGTCAGGCAGAACTGATAAAGCCTCTTGGATGAGAGGTGAAACGTCTTCGACCTAGAAATCTAGTCCAGTTGATTTTTTCAGCTTACTATGACCTGGATGACTGAGAATCTGCATGGATTTATTGGCCATTCCCAGGTTAATGGTTTATCTGAACCTTAATCAACTACAATAGTCACACATACTGTACACATGAATACATCAGCAATAATAACATTTAAAGGACAAAAAAGAAACAAACATGCATTTAGCTGATAACACTTTTACTGAAGTAACATTTTCAGTGGAAGACTTGTACATGCTATCGAGTGTTTTACATTGTTATTGCTATTCTTACTTAGAGAATTGATCTAAATACTTCCTCCACTATGGCCTAAAGTCTCCAAGCGTTAATTCGAGAAAGAATACCTTGAATGCTTCCATCAATTAATTTTTTTAGATTCCTCCCAAATCACTTTTTTGTGACTAAATGGCTTCTTTCATTGACAAGAATTAAAACTACAGAAATAAAATAAAATAATATAAAAACTCTAGCACAGTAATGAAGCTGGTATATGACTCCAACGTTCTAAGAGTTGACAATGTACCTCTGAAACAAACTTGGTGGTGGCATTACTCAGTGTCTTCAGCATGGGTGTGGCTTCAGCATAGAACAGGGACATCCGATTGGCCATTTCATTGTTAACCTCGTTCTCTGCCTCCAGCTGTTTGCCAACAGAGAACGGATATCATGTCTTAAAAGCAACATTAATCATCACTCACATACAGTCCAGTAATCATGTTATCCAGTTGGTAAAATGAAAATGCAATGATGGAGCCAGTCCTGGCCCTAACTGGTGTAACTCAAATGGCAAATGAAATATTGATTGTACATCTCTTTGTGATGTCAGGAGGAAAGGAGCACCTCTACTTCAGTCATTAATGATTAAAGAGAGAAAGGGAAGGAATGCTGAACATTTGAGCATGGACACAACATAAACAACCTGAGCCAGATCATGTGTCCAAGGCCTCACCTGCTGGTTGTTCAGCCTGTTCCTACTTATGGTCCTCCTGTAGTAGCTGAAGTCATTCTGAATAGCTGGATTAGTCATCTGTGTGGTGAGAGGAGAGGTGGCTTATGTTTTCACAAGGCTGTAAAAAGACTGAATTTTTCAGTACAGTAAAGATCAGTCTGTAATTAGAGCAAACATGATGCCCTTCACCTTTAGTTCATCAAAGCTGAGTGTAAAATGAAGGATCTCAGCAAACTGTTTGGCCAGTGCCTGCTCTCTCTCCAGGTGTTGCATGGGAGCGTAAGGTGGGCTCGTCAGTGCCTCCAGCAGGCTGCGCAGGGCATTTTCTGTAAGCAGGCACACACTTCAACATTAGTAATGCATTCAAGCTAGAATGTACATTTCATACTGTTACTTTTATCTCTTCATGTTCACACTGCTGTGAGTCTCTTTAATCTGGCCTGCATCTGAAGTCTCCTTAATGTCACCAGCTTAAAAACAAAATGCCACAGCAGCAGGCTTTTAACTGGTACAAACAGATCAAATCACCTGAATTCTGTCACCTCCTCACTGGCTGTTACTGAATAACTGTTTGAAATGAATCAAGCACATTTAAAGTCCTGCCTCAGGCTGAATGGGAGACCTTTGGATCCCCTCTAAGCATTGGGCTCAAGTCCTCAGACAGCGCACTTCTGGTGGGGTTTAAAATGTATGGTGACCAGAAACTTAGCACCAGCATCAGGACTTGTATTTCTTCACCACTTATATCCACACTGAAATATTTCAACAGCTATTGAAAAGATTACCATGAAATTTGCTACAGACATTTATGTTTCCATCAGGATCAATGCTGACTATGGTGACCCTTTAAAATAGTAACAGTTTAGCACTACATTACTAGTTCTCACACTTATGGTGGATAAAAAAATAAAAGGATCAAAAACGATGCAAAGATTGCTTTTTAATTACATACATTCTTCTTTTTTGTTTTAACCTGTTATCTATATTACCCACAATACAACAAAGAGTTTGGTAAGAGATTTCTCTGTGAGTGAATCCCAATTCCATAATTTTATCTTTCCTTGGTCCTCAATTCTTGCTTGATCTGGAAGTCATTCCAGTCCACCATGTTGAAAGATGCCTCAAAGCTCTTATTTTTGCTCTGAGGAGTGAGGACTGAGGAGCAAGGAGGCTGCCTGGAGGAGCTATAACTGAGGATACATGAGTGCATCCTTGATGGAAGTTTGTTACGGATTGCCACGCTGCTTTATCAGAAATCAGTTTGTGATTAGGTGCGTCACATGAAGGATCAGAGGAAAGGACGTTTCATGTCAGTTATAACATGGTTCCTTGATCCTTTCTCCTTGCAGTTTCTCCTTGCATCTTTCCTGGCATCCTACATGGGTGCAATTAAGACACAAAGAAAAGATGCAAATCGAGGGAAATGTGGATGCAATTAGGATAACTGGGATTCACCTTGTGTTATGCTAGTAGTAGCCTCAACCAGAAGGGCGGGCTTCAGACCTAGGGAACTCTTCATGCAACTCCCTCTGGAGTCACAAAATACTATATTACTAGGGGCTCTCTTTGCTTTAATTACTGCTTCCCTCTGGAGTCACAAAATAGTTTTATACTAAATTTCTCACATTAGTATTCACCAAACCTGCAAAAGACTCATCTGTATAAAATCTGTGAAGTTCCCCTTTAACTTTTTTTGCAGCACCTTGATCTGCTCAAAATTTCAATGTGTAAATACTGTACCTGCAAAACTACTGACATTCCCATCAGCCTCAGTTGTATTTAGATTTTAGCGCTAATCAGCAAATGTAAGCATAGTGATATGTGAAAGTAAAATGGTAAACAATATAAATGGGTTGGTGAACATTTCAAAGTCCAGCATTAAAAGTGGAAATAGAGGTGGTTTCACTGCCAACCTCTTTCACAGTCTTATTCTCTCACACATTATTTACAGGCGCAGCTCAATAAATTAGAATATCATGGAAAAGTCCATTTATTTCGGTAATTCAACTCAAATAGTGAAACTCGTGTATTATATAAATTCAGTACACACAGACTGAAGTAGTTTAAGCTGTTGGGTCTTTTAATTGTAATGATTTTGCTCACATTTAACAGAAACTCACCAAATCACTATCTCAATAAATTAGAATACCTCATAAGACCTATAAAAAAACATTTTTAGTGAATTGCTGGCCTTCTGGAAAGTATGTTCATTTACTGTATACTGTATGTACTCAATACTTGGTAGGGGCTCCTTTTGCTTTAATTACTGCCTCAATTCGGAGTGGCATGGAGGTGGTCCGTCCTCAGGTCTGGTGAGTTTTGCCGGCCAGTCAAGCACACCAACACCATGGCTATTTAACCTACTTTTGGTGTTTTTGGCAGTGTGGGCAGGTGGAAAATGAAATCAGCATCTTTAAAAAGGTGGTCAGCAGAAGGAAGCATGAAGTTCTCTAAAATATTTTGGTAGACGGGTGCAGTGACTGTGGTTTTCAAAAAACACAGTGGACCAACACCAGCAGATGACATTGCACCACAAACCATCACAGACTGTGGAAACTTAACACTGGACTTCAAACAACTTGGGCTATGAGCTTCTCCACCCTTCCTCCAGACTCTAGGACCTTGGTTTCCAAATGAAATACAAAACTTAGATAGTGATTTGGTGGGTTTTTGTTAAATGTGAGCAAAATCATCACAATTAAAAGACCCAACAGCTTAAACTACTTCAGTCTGTGTGTACTGAATTTATATAATACATGTTTCACTATTTGAGTTGAATTACTGAAATAAATGGACTTTTCCATGATATTCTAATTTATTGAGCTGCACCTGTATGCAGTAAAGGTACTCCTCAGAGATCACATTGCTGCTGATCATATACACTGATCAGCGATAACATTATGACCAAGGGCAGGTGAAGTGAATAACACTGACTATCTGTTACAGTGGCACCTGTCAGTGTGTGGGGTGTATTAGGCAGCAGTGAACATTCAATCCTCAAAGTTGATGTGTTGGAAGCAGGAAAAATGGGTAAGTGTAAGAATCTGAGTGACTTTGACCAGGGCCAGACTGTGATGGTGAGATGACTGGGTCAGACCATCTCCCACACTGCAGGTCTTGGTGGGTGTTCTTGGTCTGTAGTGGTTAGTAGCTACCAACAGGGTCTAAGGAAGGACAGATGGTGAACTGGAGACAAGGTCATGGACGCCCATGGCTCACTGATGAAAAGAAAGAGCCAGGGGCTGTAGTGATGATATCACACCAAGAGTGGTGAGGCTGTTGAATTTGTCTAAAAAAATTCTCTCTAGCTCGTCCTCACGACCACAGTTTCCAGTCTTTTTACACAAGTTTTTCACTGAATTGCAGATGTGCTCTTCCTGACAGTAGAACTGTGGAAGCAAGTGGATTCACAGAAGATGCACAGTGAGCTGCAGAGTGACACAAGTGCAAACCAACTGCCACATTGACTCCTGTGTAAACAGTATTAGGCAGGTGGTCATAATGTTATGGCTGATCGGTGTAGCCTGGGCAGTCTCATGGCTACTGTATCAGTGACCATGCATATCCCTTGTGTCACACATTGTAGGCTATTGAAACGAAGCCTTTTCCCTGCTCTGCTGCCTCTGACAAATTAGACACCAATGCCGGACCTCAGTGGCAGTGTTAATGCCTCAGAAGCAAAGTCTCCTGAGGCCCCATCTCTTCTTCTACATAAAAAATGCATAAGGGCCTTCTATAAATACTGCACTGAAGTGTTTCATCTGGCAGAAAACCCCATGCTCCCTCCTGCTGTTAGCACAGAAGACAAGGTCCCTATCGTGAGCACTGATTCCTGAGGTTATATACTGACAGGATGGACAGAGAGACACTGCAGCTGTTTGGTTCCTGAGCATGGACCTCCTACTGTCCCCTTTTATTAAGTATATAAATCATAAAAAAGCAGCAGAGATGCTGTAATTTGTATTATCCCAGTCATTAAGATTTGATCATTTTCATTCCATAAAGTGGTCTGCAAGGCTGTACTATGGTACTGTAAAACTGTTTTACTTGCAATACATTAGTGCTGAGACATTATCATCAATTATTAGTTAGCCCTCATTGTATGGTAAGCTGAGAACACAATGTCCATGAGATCGAAGTATTATTGGAATGAAAAGCAGAGGCGGCAGCCGAACTCTGTTTCTCTGCTCATGCTTCCCTCTCCCTACTCGCTCTGTCTCTCTCAGTGCTGGACGACCATGTACCACTGTTTCCATAACAACGGCTGCCTGGCTGCTAGGTCAGGATGCTGCAGAGATGGCTGGGAGGACATCATAGTGTGTGTGAGTGAGTGTGTGTTAAGGAATGCTGTCAGACTGAAACTGCATATAAAATCACAATGGTCTATGAAGCAGCACTGATTGTACAAGTTGTGCTTCTTCCTATAGCTTGCAGTGATTAAAGACCTGTTTTCCCGATCTTAAAATTGATTTGTCAAGGTTCAGTGATACAATATATGAATATTGTTTTCACGGTGCTATGATCAAAATAATTTTGTTGTTCTTGTATTTGTTGAGGTCAAAGTGTGTTAACACAAGTGCTTGTCACTTACAGTACATGTCACATCTTGTAACTGTGCAGCAGTCAAACAGAAAAAAGCAGCTGCTGATGGCAGGAGTAGTAACCTGTGACACATTGGTGAACATGTCTGCAATGTTGTACAAATGTTAAGTGACAGCCCCACCCATATGTCTGTAAGGAAATGTTGCTATAGACTTCACAACCACATCTCTCTTAATGCAAGAAAAGTTACACTTAACAAAGATACATAAGTGTGTGATGCTCCGCTTCCTGTGTGCACGCTTCACCTCCCCTTTTGTTGTTGTTATGTTTCTGTAATCTCCTTCCCTTTCTCTGCAGCCACCCAGTACTTTCATGTTACACCTATTGATAGCTGTAGTAGTTTGATAACTGACTGGCTGACAGCAAATACTTTTTTAAATGTAGGCCTAGGCTACAGGTGCTTGTAGCTCTTACTGGATCACTAAATTGTTTCCAAAAAGTATGTTACATCACCTGAAATTACATCTCAACTCTATATAACAGCCATGCTCACCCAGTCTCAGAGAGAACTCATAGAACCTCTTCAGCTTGGCCACCAGTGGGCAGACTGCATTCCAGGCCTTCTCCTGAAGAGCGAGGTCGCCTGGGTTCTGGATGGCCTGCAGGTGAAGAACACAGGCAGAAGCACAGATGGTAACTTGAGGTTTCACAGAGTTTTATTGAATGTCATTTACCAGAAAAACCTAATTTAGTTTCATAAAGTATGTTTCAGATACACAATAACCACTTATTGACATATAACTGTATTTTCACTGTAATATTGTAATAAATTATTAGTTCTATCTATCTATCTATCTATCTATCTATCTATCTATCTATCTTTTTTGTGTTTTTGGTAGGTTAGGTTTGAACTCTGTGCATTGAATAATAGGCTATATCAGTATTTAACCTAAAATATTCCTATATATCCAAAGTGGTTTGCAGAAACATTTCAGCACCATTTGCAGGTGAGCAATACTGGAAGAAAATAAGACAGCTGAATTATAGTTAAAGTAACTGAGGCTGCTACAGTAAGTGACTGTGAGGTTGAGAAGCAAGATGCAGAAACACTTCAGTACTATTTGTTAACGATTAGAGCAGTGCCAACAGGTGAACAGTCAGCAGTGATTGCTAATACTGCAGAGGAAACTGGCTTGCAGTGATGTGATGCTGAGAAAAAGCTGCATCTGAACATGCTTTAATGTAGCTGCTATTCATCAAGTCCAGCATATCAGCCTTCTAATGCACAATATTTATACCTCTACCATGACATTACCGCCAAAAACAACATATTGCATGAAAAGGTTGTTTGAAAATATACCTTCACACATTTTTGTCTCTGCCTATATTTAGTGCATACTGCATGGTAAACTACATGTTGGAATTTCACCCTGGCAGGCCATGTGAATCACACACAAGCGTTATTTTTCCACCCGGCGCTGTGGCTTGCCCATTTATTGGTGCTCAGCACTTATCAGCTGCTTTGTGCTCACTTCTCGTATCTCCTGGCCTGCGCCATTATAGGACTGCAGCTCGGCTAAGATCCCATGAGCCTCCTCCAGCACAGCGCTGACCTGGTTCCACACGGCTGTCTCTGCCTCTGTAGGCTGGGCATCTAGAAGGGGAGGAAGAAATGGGGAGAGAAAGAGGAAGAGAGGAGGAAAGAGAGAGAGATGGAAGTGAAAATGTGATGTAAGGTGTGGGTAGAGATGAAAATAGGAAGGTGGCAGAGAGTGAAAATGAGAGAAGATTTGAGAAGAAAAGGAGGTTAGTGACAAAGAGCTGAAAAGATGGTAATGTAGAAGGCTAGATAAAAACCTGAGCTAAATGATTAGTTCATCAGTCACTAGTATGGACAATCATACACATCTGGTCAAAATATGGCCAGTTAATAAATGATCCAATTCAATAATCAGAGAATAATAAAATGGAGACCTGCAAGCCATGCTCCATCACACAGCAAGGTTTGATTACAACCTGTGTTCACCCAGCGAGGACCAGAAGATGATGGGTCTGGTTCGCTTCAGGAATTCATTTGGATGAGGATGTCACAGTTTAACATTTTGATGGTTGTCAGACACAGTGAAAGTGCCTGGATGCAACACCTGGACAATGAGTCTTGGACTATAACTGTCTCTACTGTCTATTCAGCAAGGATTCACAAAGGCTTGGATAGGTGTAACTGCCACATGAGAATGCTGTAATAGTCATATCCATCTTTTTCTTACTTTTGATTTCCCCCTCCACGTCTGTGAGTGCGTAAAGACATTTTTTTCCCTTGAAGTTTTATTGTGAGAAATGTTAAAACAAACAAACAGAAGAAAGAACAACTTTGGGGGTGCTCGCTTTTTCTCTTTCTCTGTTTCACATGTACACTGAACAGTGTGCATACTGTTAAAACCCAGTGTTTTGCCATAGGGTACCTCCTAGTCACTGTTCTGCTTTGTTTGCCCACGTGACTTGCTGCATGCAGTGAGGAGGAATTAGGTGTTTGTGGTGCACAATTTAGGATGTGTCCCCTTGAGTCATCATTGTCTTTAGTTTTAGTTTTATTTTTCAAGCTATCCGTCTCGATATTTGACTTAGGTATAAAGTGAGAGTGGGTGTGTGCCCAAGCAGCTCTCTACATGTGGTAGCACCACTGATTATATTTGCACCCTGAGGCTTTGCCTCCCTGCAAAGAAGTAGTAATCATGGAATATTTGCTACCCTACTTGCATACTGGCTGCCACAGTAAGCACAACAAGCACTGCTGCTTTATTGCTATAACCTAACGTACTCCAGCTTTCTTGTGGTAAGCAACAGAATATTTTGTTTACTAGGTAATACTTTAAATCAGCATAGAATATACTGTACTCCAGGTGTTTCATGTATAGTGTGCATTTGGGGGCAACAGTGGTGCGGTGGGTAGAGCAGTTGTCTCCCAAACGGAATGTTGAAGGTTCGACTCTCGGTGCCTGTAGTCCACATGTCGAAGAATCCTTGGGCAAAACACTGAACCCCCAAGTTGCCCATGATGGCGGTGTATATACACACAGCGGCCTGGGGCCCCTCGGCTCCAAACAAAATTTTGTTGTATGTGTTACATCGACAATAAAATAAAGCTTCTTGTTGAATTAGATGAAAAGTTTGACTCTCATATTTTTACATATCTATAGTACATCTCACCAAGAAACCTACAGAAAGTAGAAGAACCTGGAAGAATGTCAAGCTATTTCTTTAAGAAATTTTAAGGAATCAGAGTTTTTATTTAACACACGAGCATGAAACTTTACCTGTACGATTTGACATGGTGGGCACTTGCTAAGATGCACAGATAACTACTTGCATTATGTGACATAGAAGCTTTAAATAAGAATTTATCCACATGTATGTAATTTGTCATCAAATTTACTCCTGATCCTCCACCAGGCATTAACAAGATGTAATGAGGAGCCATCAACCATAAATAGCTTCATGAATATAGAGTTTAAACCAAACTGCTGTGTGACAGAGGTGACTGTGTCTCTGGGTTGAGAAGGAGAGCTCACAGATGGCACAGCAGTGGCTGAGGAGGAGGGTGTGTTTGAAGCTGCCATGCCTGAGTCTGATTCACTGTGCTTGATTTTGAAGTAAAGTGAATCACAGGCATAATAAATGAAGGGGAAATTTAACCTAGTTGACAGCTGATGTCACTTGCCAGAAGTAAGCTCTCTCTGCTGTAAAACACAGTCAGTAAATAAGGAGGAGGAAGCCAGCTGTTAAAGGGAGAAAGTGATTGAGAAGGGGCAGATTATGTTGGGATACAATGCAAAATATCTCTCCATCTTAACAATTCAATTATTCTCATAATCAGTCTTAAAATCTTCACAGTTTTTTTTTTTTGCTAAATAATAGTCTTTTCCAGTGCTAGCAGTATTTAACCAGGCTACTCCATGTTTAGTGCTTACAGCAAAGTGCTAGTTCATTAAAGATGAGGTGGTGAATATTTTAAATATTGCTAAACATCTACTAATTATCAGCACTTTACTGTGAAAATATTAGCATGCAGAGCTTAGCATTAAGCATTAAGGTTCTCAGAGCTGCTAGCATGGTTTTTGTTAATCATTCTGGCAAATTCATTTACTTGTTGCAAAATCACAGAAGATTTTAACACTAAGTAATACAATTAAATGAGTTGTTAAGATGGATGCTTTCATGGTTCAAAGTTAAGAATTCAGTGACTGGGTAAATGAGAAGAGGAGTTATAGAGGTGGCATCATTCAGCAACCTCTTTCACAGGTTTTCTTTCTTTCAGTTTCTCTTTATCAATCCCACTCTCTTAAACACACTCGTAGATAGGTCAGACACACAATAGGTCACACAACAAGGGATGAGGAGATGAGGAGATGGAGGGATGATTATGGATTTGTCAGTTATCATCATTCTCGAGCAACAGGGACCCACACAGGACTGGCATTTGCTATTTATTTCTCCTGTTTTTGCAGTTTAGGAGCTGAGATTAAAGCATTATTATTGCCATTGTGCTACAGCATCGCCATGCCATTGTGCATCTATCTGCATCTAATAAGATATGAATAAGACTCTTTAGAAATAAGCCAAATGACTTTTAAATGCCAGTCCCTGGAGTAGAAATCAAAAGCTAAAGAAGAGGGTGAAGAGGAGAAGAGCTGAGGAGGGGGACAAGGGTAACAAGGATAAAGATGACACAATGGTCGCTACGTTCAGTGGAATGAGGAAGGAAGAGTAAAGGCAACATAGAGAAAGGGATAACTGAAAAAAATAAGAAGCAGATGGTCTCACGTTCAAAGTCAAGGAAAACTATTGGGCCATGCTCAAGTTCGGTGCAAGCCAGCACTTTCAGGAGGTTTCCCATGAGCCCCCTGGAACAGAGAGAGGGGAGAAGTCTGTGGGTGATGAGGGGATGGGTGTCAGGGTCGTGCACATGTACCTGTATGTGTGAGAAAGTGAGCTGGATGTGTGTGTGTGTGTGTGTGTGCATGGTGTGTGTGTGTGTGTGCATGGTGTGTGAGAGTTGAAGGTGCCATGGTGAGGGACTGGATGATGGGGTTGTTGGAATGGGTGGAGGTATGTCCTGGGTGAAGCATGGCAACATGGACACAGAGCCGCTTTAGTCCCACTCCTGTGGTGTAATTTATAATTTGCTCTAAATGTAAAAACTCCTTGATTTGGTGGCACTAATGATAGCAGTCCTTGATATTAAATTTTAGTTGTTACAGAGAATGTGTTTGAAAACAGAGGAGAGAAATCAAATTACAGTAAAATCAAAATTTTATGTTTAAAAAACTATAATTACAAAACTACTCCATTTTGGAAAAGTCGTGAAATTACAGTGGAACCTCGGTTTTCGTACGCCCTACTTTTTGTACAATTCAGTTTGCAATGACTTTTTTTGTCAAAATTTTGTCCAAGTTTTCGTACAGTTGATTGGTCGGTTCAACGTCATTAGTCCGTACCAAACTCGTCCGCCTGCCCGTGTGACTCTGCCACTTATTTCCCTGAAGAAATGAGTGAAGGGAAGTAACCACAGATTGGGCCTTGATACATGAAGTCCTTATGGAGGGGGATTCCCCTTCCAAACAATAACCTCTCCTCCTCCCTCTCCCCTCCTCACTGTCTTCCATACGCCAACAGGAGTCTTCAATAAAGGTAAAAGTGATATTAAATGTTCATTTATTCATTTCATTAGTCACTTATATTTATTTCTCATTGTGTTCTGTATGTAAAAATATAGTTATTCTCTATAAAATGTATTTTTGGTAGTATGTTTGGGTGTCTGGAACGGATTAATTGGATTTACATTGTTTCTTATGGGAAATATTGCTTCAGTTTTCGTGCGATTCGGTTTTCATCGGATTTTTCCAACGGATTAATCACGAAAACCGAGGTTCCACTGTATATAAGAAAATATTTCAAAAGGAACTGAGCAAAATCTCTCAAGGATCAAATCCAGAAAAAAATGACATTGAAAGGGAAAACTAGTCTGAAAAATGGTCTCATACTGTATGAAAAACATTTAAGTCAGTTTTAACTTTACTCTTACTGGGAAGTTATTTGAGGACAGCACTGTTTGAAAAGTAATAAACTAAACTAAACTATAAAATAAAATAAAATGAGTGTTCTGTGAAAATACACCTAGTTTTAATTTACACTGAGTTGTTGGCCTCATTGCTATTATCTATGTACCATTTTATTTGTACCTATGCACCATATATTTAGACCATCATTAAATAGAATATCTTTCAACACCATAAATCACTGAGAGTGGGACTAGAGAGCATCTGATGATGACAAACCACACCCACAACAGCACTCCATCACAACATCAACAACTCAGCAACTCACATCCAAATACACCTCCCCTGACCCGCCGACATCCCACTGAACACCTCTGCTCCACGCACACATGCACTCACATTTCAAGCACACAGACATGTGGACACACCCCAGTGCTCACTTACTTTCAAAGTCCAGGAAAAAATGCGGACAGTTCTCTAAATCCTTGCCAAGGACCTTAATGAGGTTCCCCATGGCTGGCGACCTGGACAGGAGGAAACAACAAAACGCATACAGTACGCAGAACCTGGCAACCTGCATGAAAATCCACAACATGCACATGGAGAACACGGCAGGTTGTGACTGTTTTAGTTTTTCACCAATCTGCAGTTGCCTAATTACCTCTTCTTTCTTTCCTCCTCCATCCGTCTGTCTAAGCAATATGTCCGGAGCAAAGTCAGACAGTCCAGTCATAAATGACACTGACCACAGTTTGCATCCCATACACAGCATACACTGTATTTGATTAGAGGGGGCCTAAATCCAGTGATGAATCATTTATGCTTACTCATTGTAAGTCACTAGAGCGGAGTAGTGGTTTTAATCCATTTACATTACTATAGTAACCTAATAAAAGCCTGCTATGTACAGGATACTTTTGTCCAATGCTTGTCATGTACAGCAGTCTATAGATACAGTACATTATGACAGGCTCTCGCTTCATACCCAAAGCCAAGATTCCAGTACTGGATAAAACCAATTAGATTATACTGTATGTCAGACTGGGCAGGATGTACAGGGTTACATGCTGGTATGTTCATATACAGCACCAGACAAAGCAACATACAAATCAGGACATATGGTTTCAGCCTCTTCACTCCCATTATGTCAAACCAAATGTTCAAAATAGGGACTAGCAACATTCTGATGCAAAATATGCAAAACTTGGTTTCAGTTAAATTACAAGTGATATAAGGCCAATACTTTTCAATATTCCAAACAGCTACAGGGGAGCTATGATTTAAGAGGTAAATGTATCATTAGTATGCTAATTTTAAATACATTTTTTGTAATCACCAAAGAGTTTGTTAAAATTGTAGGCATTTCTATTTATTACTTTCTAGCTGCTTAATCACAGATATGTGTGAAAACAATTTTTAATGGTAAATTATTGCTATAAATAATGTGTGAATTCTCTGAAATAATACTTGTGGTGTCAAACCAGTCTGAACTATAGTTCAAACCCACAGAACTTTATTTTGAAATGCAGTAGAGACACCAAAATTAACAAAAATGCCAGATATGTCAGGCTGAAATTTGGGGAGCTATGTGTAAAATGATGCGTAATGTGGGTAAAATGATCCTATTCAGTGGTATGGCCATAAAAGATGAAGTTGAGTTTGTTATAATTTACTGAATGCAACATTTTACAAGTTCAGTGATGAGCTAGAACAACAAACACTGATAAAGATATCATCTGCCTTAAATATGCAGCGCTTAAAGAAAAAATTAAGGATAATGGATGCTAAGGGGTCAAAGAGGGAGTGGACTGAGAAGCCACATGTGGACCTGTGCGTGCATAAAACACATGGAATAAACAAAAAGACCATGTGAAATCTAATAGTCAAAAATGACTCTCAGCTGTGCAAGTATGAAAGCTTCCCTCCTTAACCATCTTTCCCCCTCTCACTCATAGAAAGGCTTCTTTAACAGAAAGTAGACAGCTGCCAAGTTTCACTTCCTTTGCTGTACCCTTTGTGTTTATGTGCTATGTTAGCACGCACTGGACGCCCAAGTTTCCCCCTGCAAGTGTGATTTATGGTCCGGTATTAGCATGTTTACGAGACGCCACCACCCTTCAAAAGGAGCCTGGCCTTTTCATTGTTATTCAGCAGTAACTGGTGTTGCAATGCAGCACTAAGGTACAGATGGACAAGGATTAGAGTTACACTGTCCAGCTGCAGTTTCAGTTTTAAATGACATCTACTGTACTATATTTCTACTCTATCTACAAAATCTGCTTGGAGGCTAAGAAAAAGAGCTGCATGCTTAGTCACTGCTACAACCTAAAACAAACCTAGTCTCTTCTTGATTTTTAGACCACCTGCTCCAAGATACACACTAATCTGATGCTATGAATATATGAATAACAGATTCATATCTTCAGCCTGACAAGGTGACTGCACAGGCAAAGTAAAACTGAGATTCCTATTGGAGTCTGTATGAAGGAGTGAGAGCTTTTTGACATACACGCAGGTGTGTGTTAGAGGTAGCCCTACACCAGCCACACATACATTAATATATGTACTGTACATCTGGAGCAGCATGTGGTCCATCCTGGGAGCAGAGCTTGACTGATGGTTGCCAGGATACTGTTGGCCTGGTAATATCGTCTGCTCGTCTCAACAGAAGATGCAGGAGGAGAAAAAGCACCCAGTTCGCTCACACACTGGGTCAGTAGTTTACAGCACTGAGCTGATACATCAGGCTTTATTACTTTACTATAGCAACCATTCTGTAAGAGCACATATTGTGCACACAAAGATGGAGTTCACAGACCCTTAAAACCAGGAAATCAAGAAACTACCCAGCAACTTCTTACAGATCTGTCTTCTTACCCTTGTTTCCTATGAGCGTTTTGCCTCTTCCCTTTCCTTTAGCCCTTCGTTTTGTCTCCTGTTGTCCTCCTGTCCTCGTTCTCTATGATTTGTGAAATTGTTGCTGTGAGTAAATTCCAACTCTAAGCAAAAACTAAAGTTCCACAGTGGCACTGGTTGCCACTCTTTTCTTTTCTTAAAGCCTGATGTAAACTTTTGTTCTTGCTCTTTCTCAGTCTGTCTCTCTCTGCGTATCTCTGTCCACTTGACACTTCTCTTTTTCAGCCATCTATTTAAAGACCTGTGGTTTTCTCTATCTGGTATGTGTTCTAGATGCTGCTCTGCCTTTTTTTCAAGCTTGTTGGTAAAACAGGATGCTCTTCTGGGCAAGGTTGCTGGTGCAAAAAGCATCCACTAAAATATGTTCACGTATTTAGAGTTCAGTTTTGCCTTTCTCTGCCTTTATTGTCCTGATGTGTTTTTGTATCTTTTTAGTTCATACACAAATAGAGAAGACTCCTTCTCTCTTTTAGTTTCTGACATCAGAATGGGTTCCTCAAAAATATCCCCTACAGCTTTCTTCTCTGCCTCACTTCTCTGTTTCACCACTCCACAGCACTTGCTCAGCTCCACTGGCCCTGTATTCTCACAGCATATCCCTGTCATGGTGCCATTCGGTCTCGCTGGTGGCCCTTAGGAGCAAACAAGTCTAAGTGGCATAATGTAAATAAAAGTCATGGAGTGCAAACACACATTTGCTTTTAAACTTGCAGATTGGCATTCATAATGTACATTACATTAAAGCCATTACATTTATCACAAGCACACAGTTCAATCATTAAAATGGCATTTTGTGAAGTAGGAAGTGTGTTTGGTGGCCTCTGCTTGCAGTTTCAGTTCCATGCAAACACATTTAATGTTTGCCGTCAGCCAGCATGAAAGTGGAGCAAAGTGCTTCTCTTATGCAATTGCACAGATCTCATTTGTAGTCCAGTAAAAGAACCCAAACCAAGGGGCTCCTCAAGTCTTAATAAAGACATAGCTCAACTCCCACATGGCGGCTGAAAAGCAAACCTGGTTCAGACTGGACGCCGAGAGGTAGAACGAGGCTTCCCAGTCTCCTTTGAGTTCTCACTGAAAGATTCCTCCTGTTGCAGCCCAGGAACTTCATCAGTGTGGATTTAGTTAGCACAGAAACAGCACTGCTTGTCTGTGCCAAGTCTAAGCTCTATCAGCTCACAAATAATACCATCTGAACTCTCTTATCCAGCTGTGTATCTTTCTCTCTGCCTTGAACCACGATGACTTCTTTTTCTGTCACACACTGTTTTCAGTGGCCTGGGAAGCAAACCCTTTCAACACTCTACTGTATACAAAGCCTGCAGCAATAGTACTCTTCCAGCTCTCATCTCTCTTCCCTATCCATTCCCTTTTCCTCACTCCTGAACCATCCATCTGTCGCTCCTTTTTCTGACTCACCCATATGGTGTTTCTCTGCCGTGTCTTTATTTTTCAACTACCATTCAATTTTTTTTCTCTCCACCTTTTTTCATCCCTCATTTTGCATTCCTACCTTCACTTGTGTTTATCCCTCTGGAACACTTCACTGCATCAACCAGGGCTTGTCAGCTCCACACAGTGGTTACAGCATCAGCACCCACCACCTAACAAAAGGACAGACAGATAGACAGGTAGAAAGAAAAATTTACATAAAATTCAACATCCTATAGCTTCAGTATTTGACAATTTGGGATGAGAATGTGTTGTCAGGACAGTGTTCAGAAAAACAGGGATCAATGACTTTTGGTTTAAAGATGCACAGAGTGTCAGGGTCGCTCCATTTTGCCTGCACTCTCTCACCTCCACACACCTGCCAGCTATCCTCATCATCACCACCTGTTGTCTATCCTGCAATTACCTGCCTCCTATATCTACCCTGCCTTCCTACCGGCTCATTGCCAGTTCATTGTTTGTTCCCAAGCAGACGACTAGTGCCGTTCCACCCTGTTACTCTCTTTATGTACATTCAGTTCAAGTTTGCCTCCTTTATTCTCTTAGCCTTCTCCTCGCCTATTCCAGATGTCAGCTCCCTTTTTTGGACTATTAGCCTCCACATGAAGCTGTCATCCTCTGACCAACACCCATCGTTACCCCTCGGACTACATCATCCACCATGTCGGTGCTCTCCTATCCTGTTTTCTACCTGCTCATCGTGTTCTCCTGCCTGTTCTTCTGCCTCAACCATCTCTACCTTGACCAGTCAGTGAGTGACCCTCATGCTCCACAGCTCAACCCTGCGATGGTCTTTATCATCTTGGCCTAAAATAAATACCTAATACCCTCTCAGGTTGAGAGGTACCGGCTAGATATAGTCGGGCTCACCTCCACACATAGCTTGGGCTCTGGAACCTTACTCCTCGAGAGAGGCTGGAATGGCTAATCATGTAGGTCACACCAGCTTGTGTGGCGTGCGGCCATAACACAGAGTCAGTAAGGGCAAAGAACGGCACGCTTGGGTAAAAAAAAAAAAAAAAAAAAAGAATAATGTGCACAAAGGGCAAATAAACATAGACCAGAACTAGTTTGCCTTCACTAGCGTTTTAGGTTATGATAGACTTTTAGATGGCGCCGACAACAATGGCAGCCCTGGCTACATACTCTCCCCCCCTGCTGTGGGGAGCCATCAACTGGTAGATGATCTGAATGCATTCTACTGCAGGTTTGACAATCACCACCCTTCCTCCTTGCCCCCCACCTCTAATGATCTGTGAAAAGGATGTGTGTGGCCTCTTTAAAAAAACAAAGGATCAGAAAGGCACCAGGTCCAGACAACCTGACCCCCTCCTGCCTGAAAGTGTGTGCTGATCAGCTGGCCCCCATCTTCACACTTGTCTTCAACAGGTCACTGGAGCTGTGTGAAATCCCCTTTGGCTTCAAGTGCTCCACCATCATCCCAGTCACCAAGAAAGCCTCCATCAGAGGACTGAATGGCTATAGACCTGTTGCCCTGACATCTGTAGTTATGAAGTCCTTTAAAATACTGGTGTTGGCCATGCTAGACCCCTTGCAGTTCGCCTACCGGGCAAACAGGTCACTGGATGATGCAGTTAACATGACACTGCATTACATCCTGCAACACCTCGACTCCCCAGGGACCTATGCACGGGCCCTCTTTGTGGACTTCAGCTCCACATTCAACACCATCATCCCGGACATCCTCCACTCCAAACTGACCCAGCTCACTATGCCTGCCCCCACCTGTCAGTGGATCACTAGCTTTTTGACAGACAGGAAGCAGCAGGTGAGGCTGGGGAAAACGACAATCAGCACAGGCATCCCCCAGGGATGTGTGCTCTCCCCTCTGCTGTTTTCACTCTACACCAATGACTGCATCTCGAAGGACCCCTCTGTCAAGCTCCTTAAGTTTGCAGATGACATAAGGGTCATTAGTCTTTTTATTAGTCTGCAATTATTTTTGACAACTTGGAGACAGAAGTAAGTAGCTGTTATTAAGCTAACAGCTAATATTATTATCAATACAGTGGTGTGAAAAAGTGTTTGCCCCCTTACTGATTTCTTATCTTTTTGCATGTTTGTCACACTGTAATGTTTCAGATTGTCAAACAAATTTATATATTAGTCAAAGATAACACAAGTAAACACATCATGCAGGTACACATGTAACAGATACAGGGGAATGTTAGTGTTTATTTTACATTGTGCTGGTGTCGACTAATGAAGTTCAATATTCATTCTAATGCCCAGTTTGTGCTCTGTTTGGACATTGCTAACGCCTCAGAAGAATATCTGGCTCTTTAGTTGCTAAATGCTATACCATAGCTAGCTGCTAACTGTGTCTGTGCCTCACATCTGCAGGGACAGGTCAGCTAGTGGTGCCTAGAGCTCAAACTAAACAAGGTGAAAGTGCTTTTAGTTGTTAAAACTAAGCTAAAGACATTTCTTTTTTCCAATGCTTTTAATTAATGCACCTCAACTCCACCCAACTGTGCACTTTACCTGCTTGTATTTTTGATTTTACTTTTCTTTCATTAACACAATGGCTCATTACATTTACTTTGCATTTATGTTTTAATCTAATTTGCATTTTAATGTGCATTGTGTGCACTTTGAATTGCCTTTGTGTATGAAAATGTGCCAAGCCTGCCTTGCCTTTGTGCTAATTCTGGACATATAGTGGGGTTTTAAAACTTTTTATCTTAAGCCGCTTGCCTGCTGTGGCCAAAAACAATGCTATGAGAGTAGTTTGAGTGAACAAGATGGGCCAGAAAGCCAATGCAACAAGCTGAAACAAGTTAAAGCTCTGCAGCACTGAGGGGAACTGCAGAACTGGATCATAATTCTGTGGGTTAGGGTTAGGTATAAGGGTCAGGGTTTGTCACTATAAACAAGCCTTTTCATATAAGGAATTTGGTCACTTATTATTATACAAATATTGATTATTATAGCCATTTAAAACATCCCATGATGGAGTGATATAAGGTCCCTACCTACACAGCAGTTCATCGATTATGGTCAACATTACCCAAAAGCTAATATAGTCTAATATAAAAACCTAGAAGTTTGCAGTTCAATAATGGACTATGCTTGTTAAGCTTATCTTATTCATTATGCATCTCCCACAGTTCCTGCATTGTGTTACCCACAGACTGGTGTAACTATTAACACTACTGCTGCTGCCCTTGCATCATTGAATCTCATTGGGAGAGAGGCAGACAGGAGCAAGGCAGAGGCCTTTGAAGAATAGTTGCCAGGGAAACACTGCCTCTTATTCTCATGGCAACAAATAGCCAGCTACTGTTCTCTGTGATCAGTGAGGTGGATTGGATGGATGGATGGACTATACTTTCCTTAAAGTGACTTTGCTAGTTTCACAGGGCTTTGTAATTTCCTTTTTTTTTGTATAAATTGGTTATGAGCTGTGATCTGATCTTCACCAAAGTCACACATATCAACAAACAAGCTATGATAAAACACAGTCATGATATTTCATGTCTTTATTGGACACACCTATTAAACATACAAACTGATGATGGAAAAAGTAATGGCAATAGTGTTTTAATAACTGGCTGAACCACCTTTGGCAGAAATATCCTCAAGCAAGTGTTTCCTGTAACCGTGGATTAAACCAACATTCAGGAGGAAGTCTGGACCATTCTTCCTCACAGAACTGCCTCAGCTCAGCCATATTTTTAGGACATCTGGTGTGAACAGCTCTCTTGATGTCATTCCACAGCAGCTCTATTGGGCTGAGGTCTGGGCTCTGACTGGGCCACTCCAAAAGGTGAATGTTGTGTTTCCAAAGCCATTCTGTAGTAAATTTACTTTGATGTTTAGGGTCATTGTCCTGCTGCATCACTCAGCTTGTTCTGAGCTTCATCTTGCCAACAGCCACCCTGACATTATCCTGTAGGATACCTTGATAAACCTGGGAATTCATTCTCCCCTCCACAATGGCAAACAGTCCATGCACCCCAAATCATGATGCTCACTCCACTGTACTTCACTGTTGGCATGATGTTTTCATGTTGGTATGCAGTTTTATTTTTACACCATACGTAGTGCTGTGTGTTCTTCCCAAACAATTCTATCTTTGTTTCATCTGTCCACAGGACATTTTCCTAGTATTGTTGTGGAGCATCAAGGTGGTCTTTAGTAAACGTGAGGCATGCTGCAATGTTGCTTGTGGAGAGCAACGGCTTCCTCTGTCGTGTCCTGCCATGAATGCCATGCCTGTTCAATATGGTGAGTATGGCTGACTCATGAAAAGAGATGTCAGCCAACTCTAGTGAATCAGTTAAGTCTTTAGCTGTTAAACTACGGTTCTTTTTTTACCTCACTGAGCATTCTGCATTGTGCCTTTCAAGCGTTCTTGGCTGGGCTGCCACTTCTATGGAGAGTAGCCACAATACCAAGTTGTCTCAATTTATAGATAGTATGTTTATCTGTAGGCTGATGAATATCTAGTCTCTGAGATGACTTCGTAACCCTTTCCAGCACATGCAAAACAGCGGCTCTTGATCATAGGTCTTCTGAGATCTCTTGTGTATGAGGCATGGCTCATATCAGCTGATGCTGCTTGTGAATAGCACACTGACACTGTTTGAGTGTTTTATAAATGAAGGTAGTTCTAAACCACACCTCTATTCTCATTTCATTTATTGGACTCCAGGTTTGCTAACACCTGACTCCAGTTAACCTTTAGTGACATCAGAAGCCTAGGGCCCTATCTTGCAATAAACGCATTGCATGCAACATGGGTAGTGCATCTGTGTTTCCTAATTTCCTACCTGTGCAATTACCATTTTCATGACATGTTCATCACGTTGCCTTTTTACCAAGCAGCAGTAAATTTTGTGCCGACAGGTGTGTGCAGATGAAAATGGGGTGTGTCCAGGTAAATTCTGGATGCGTTGGTATCATGAGGGTCCACAAAATGACTGCATCACTGACCAGCAAAACCAGGTCTGTGGTCAGCAGTCAAATCACCTTTATAATACCATAATGGGTGCCTTGGCCATGTTGTG